TTTCTGAACCAAAACCTGGGCCATACAATTTGAGAAATGATTTCTGGCCCCAGGCCACTTACAGATAGTCTGAGAGGTAAGGCTTGGCCACCCACTATTGAACTCTGAGACATTCTGATGATTTGCAAGGACAAGTATTTCATATTCAATATTACCCTGGGCAATCTGGGTTGTCATAAACCAAATCACAAGAAAAAAAGAAAGAAAGTGTTCTGGGTTTTATGTTGGGACTTTCTAGCAAGTCATAGAGATAACCGCGCTTTTCATAAATGGTCTTTCAGCGGGTCGGTGAAACACAGGCTGAAAACACAGCCGCCAGGCAAACAGGAGGCCAATCTCACTTCAACGGAAAATCCTCATCACTGGGGAGATGAGCTCCAGAGGACCAGTGACACCCTCCTGAGGCTTGCAATTCTGGCCATTCACTGGTTCATTTTCTCCATCCTATATTCATTGATGTTCACGTCCATGGCCAGCTCCCCGGCACAAAAGACTTTAAGGCAAATGTCCTCCCTGGGGGTGTGGATTCACTGTACCTGAGGTTTCCAAAGTCAAAGCTTGTCCCGTGCAAATAAATGCTACAGGTCTCCTGCACGATTCCTGCACTTTGGATGGATAATGTCAGGTCAAAAAAGCCACCTTCTAGTTTATACTCAGGCCAGACAGGGAGGATGTCCTTGAGCCTTTGGAACTTGAGAAATGGGAATAGCACAAACCTCCATCCTCAGAAACATGTTCTCCTCGTGTAAAAATATCTTTGGGGCGCCTGGCTGGTTCAGTCGGAAGAGCATGTGACTGACTCTCGATCTCAGGGTTGTGAGTTCAAGCTCCGTGTTGTGGGTAGAGATTACTAAAAAAATAAACTTAAAAATATCTTTATTAACAGCATAAACATGATAGTATTCACTGGGTTTGCTGAACAAAGGATTCATATGGCGCTTCCAAGAACGAAAATGCCAGAGACTAAGAGTAAGTGCTCTTTTGCTGGACTGAGCTTCCCCGGGCTGCCTACTGGCCTGAGCACCCCTCCAGGTCTGCAGCCACACCTCTCCCCTCCTTCCATACTTGGGCATGTCCTGGCTATGTTCTGCCAAATGTGTCCCTGACCCCATTTTGTTTTAAGACAAAAGCTTAGCATGGCTTTCTCAAGGAAAAGCAGAGAAGCCTGGAATGAAGAAGCTATCTGTCCACCTCCTTCATGGACCGGGCCAGCAAGGGAGCCTCTTCACACCTGCCGATGGGCAGGAAGGATTCATGTATTCATGCCAGCGATACTTACTGAGTTCCCACTGTGTGGGGGGCACTGTGTGCAGAACTGTGAGAGAGGAAAAGAAAGAAAGAAAGGAGAGGAAAAAAAGAGAAAGAAGAAAACAGGTTCCATGCCTTCTGGGATTTTAAAGGTTCCTAGAAGAAATAAGACAACTATTCATATAAGTAGAAAACAAGATGGACCATAATCAAATGCTAAAGGACAAGGAGAATCCAAAAGCTCTGGGGCAGATGGCTTCTGGAAGAGGGAATCAGAGCTGCTCCCAGGTGGCTGCAACTGGGGACAGGGGAAGACAGACCAGAGGTAAGGACAGCTTTCTGGAGTGGGTCTCCAAGGGTGTACATTCAAAGGACGCCTGGGATTTTATCAGACAGGGATGGGACAAAGCCACTCCAACTCAAAATTCAAGAGCACAGACTCATGCTAGAAAGCACAGGCTTCGTTCAAGGAACAGCAAGATCTGGTCTGAATGGAGCGGGGGCAATGGCGGGAGGACCACGGGCAGCTGTGGGGCAGCTCTGGCCTGTCATCACACAAGGCCCCGCTTCCAAGCAGAATAAGGAGCTCATGCTTGATTTGGAGATGCTGGGGAACTCACGAAGCTTTCTAAGTAGGAGAGCACCCGAGCGCTCAGGTAGGAGCGGAGCAGGGGCCCTGGAGGGAGAAGAGGCTGGGCCGCTGTGAGAGTTCTGGGCAGAAACAGCAAGAGCCTGAATGCAGACCGCGCATGGGGATGAAAATGTCCTTGGAATACACAGGGAGAGATGAGCTTTACCACTTAAACCAGTAGCACAGGTCCCATCTTCATGGGAATTATAAGAACCTTTAAATGTGAGTACCCAGAGGTGCCTGCTAGTCAAATATTAAATAACCACTGTCCAAACAGGGATTGAAGTGTCCGGTGCTGGGTAAGTGCGTCCAAAGGTCCCGAGCTGGATGAACAGAAGAGAGGTCAAGTGGTTTACACTGAACAAATGTTTGAGGGGATGAAGATAAGTGCACAGGTTCCTCTGAGTAATCATGGGGAAGGTCGGGAGACTTTGTTGAACAATCTCAAGGGTAGAAGTCAGAAGACTGACGAACCCATCTTAGATGTTCTGGGAGTGATAAAAGGCACAAAGCCCCCACAGCCAGCTGGGTGGGGAGGGCTGTCACAGTGGGTGCCTGTCTCCACCTCAGAGGCACCTGCTCAGACCTGACCCTCTGCTTTGAGACTTCCCCAACGAAACAACAACCCCAGGGGTGCCTGGGTGGCTCAGGCAGTTAAGTGTCCGACTCTTGGTTTCAGCTCAGGTCATGATCTCATGGGTCCTGGGATGGAGCCCCGTGTCGGGCTCCATGCTCAGCAGGGAGTCTGCTTGAGATTCTTTCTCTTTACCTCTCCCCTGACTCATGCTTGCTCTCTCTCTCTCTCGGAAATAAATCTTAAAAAGAAATAAAAATAACAACCCCAGAGGTCACTCCTCAGCCCTCAACCCCTCTGGCCTCTCCACAGTATCTGACTAAGATCCTAAAGTTCATTACAAACTTGTCACATTCATCAGGAGGCAAGTAAATGAAGTTTTTAGGACAGGATGAGAGATTTTTGTTTTCTTTTTAATAGGAAGAGTAAAGTTGAACGTTATTTTTCAGGGCCAGAGAAAACTGGGTACTTTGCTTCAAATAAAACCTACCAAACACACGTGGAAGCAAACAGACCGGAGTTTGAATCCTGGCTCCACCACTTACCATCTAGTGTGTGACCTTGAGTAAGGGCTTGACCTTGCTAAGTTTCCATTTCCTCATCTGTAAAATGACAGTCCCACCCACCTCCCAGGACTGCTAGTGAGCCTGACACGTGAGGAGCCCAGAGCAGGGCTGGGCTCACAGGAAGCCCTCAACGTCAGCCCCTTCCTCCAAAACCCAGCTTGACTCCTCTACCTCCCAAGTCCCTGAGCTTGGTCACAGCCTCTGCTCCCAAACCACCTCCTTTCCTCTCTTCCTCTTCCCAGGCTTCTAAATCCTCCGGACTGGATGCCTCTGAGTTGGCCACCTTTGTCTTAGTCCTGGCCTGCAACACCCCACAGGGAACTATCACTTTACACCACAGATGTGATACCATGCTTTAGGACATGGGCCATGTCCTCAGACCCGTGGGTTCAAATCCTGGTTCGGCCTCAGACTAGCTGGGTGATCTTCAGGGAGTCACTTAACTTCTCTGGTGATAATAACGTCACTAATCTCCCAAGACAGTGAAGTGTCTGTCAGTTTTGCACAGCGGATGCTAGGCACGAGGCCTGGACCAGAAGGGGATCTGCAAACGCTAGCTAGTGTTATTATCCGTTCTTCTTACCTGCGTCCAGTGCCCTCCCCTTCTCTGCTGACCCCGCCTCGGCCGGACCGCGATGCCGGCAGCCTGATGTCTAGGCGGCTTCCTGGCTGCGCTCCGGCCACCGGCCTCTCCCTACTCGAATCAAACCTACATCCTGTTGCCAAATTCCACTTCCTCCCATGCCCCTTGGGCTCTAGTTCAAGAACCTGCTAAGGCCAGCGACATTCAGTCCGAGCCCCCCCCACCCTTCCCCCAAACTCCACATCCTACCACTTCCTAAAAAACGCACTTTCTACTCCAACCAGCCAGCCTCCCTTACTGTCACCTGAACCAGTAAGCTTCGTGCCACACCTCACTTTCTTCGCAGCTGCCAAACCCTCCCCGCTGCCCTGCACCTTTGCAAACTCCACTCCGGCCTACAACTTCCTGCTCAAGCTCCGCACCCTCTCTGACCTCTCCGGTCCTCTCCCCTCCTTTCTCTGAACTTCTGCGGCTCTCATCAGTGCCAAGGCAGTCATCATCCATGGGTCCTGAAGCGGCCCCAGGGACACGGGCAGATGTGAAGGAAACATCTGGTAATCAAGGGAGTCCAGTCTACAAATGAAGACCAGAATGGAGACGGAGTAGTTAAGTGGCATGCCTGGATCCCAGAACGTATCAGTAACACGGGAGACAAGGATGGTAACCGTGGCAAAGAGCTCATGTTTGAAATGACTCTTTCAAGAGCTTAGGATGACTTTATACCATAGCAAGTTCCTAGTTACTAGCTGGTCTTGGTTTCATAAGAATAACCACTTTTTAAAAATAGGATTATCTGGTTTTTCTAATTGCTGGACTTCAGATATTTGGATGTTTATTGCACAACCAAGGGAAGGTGCCAAGGGGCGGTTTATAGGGTCTTCAGTCCCCCTCCCTATAACCTCCATCAGCTTCCCAACCCCTCGGAATAAACACAGAAGTAAACACTGTGCTTATTACACAAATATAGCTCCAAGAATAGTCCTGTAAGCCTCTCCTACACTGAGATTCTGGAACTGCCATTGTACACAGGGCATTAAAAAGGCTGAGCATGGGGCGCCTGGGTGGCTCAGTCGTTAGGCGTCTGCCTTCGGCTCAGGTCATTATCTCAGGGTCCTAGAATCGAGCCCCGGGTCGGGCTCCCTGCTTGGCTCTCCCACTCCCCCTGCTTGTGTTCCTGCTCTCGCTATCTCTCTCTCTGTCAAATAAATAAATAAAATCTTTTAAAAATAATTAATTAATAAAAAGGGTGAGCATGTCCTGGTTGCCTGCAGCAGCAGCAGGAGGACGGGCTGTCCCCGCCTCCGTCCTGGATACCACCCTCTCCTCTTCCACAAACACCACACTCCTTCACAGCGGGGAATGCTCCCCACCCTCTCCCCACGAGGGCCAGCACCTTACCGCCACCCCGGAGGGTCTGGGTCAAGTCCTCCACCAGGGCCACAGCCTCCTCGCTGCTCTCAGGACGATGCTCCTGCAGCCAGGCTTGAATTTCCCTCGGTAGCACGGTCAGCATCTGTTCCTTGGTGTGCACTTCCGGCCTGAGCCAGCGCCGACAGAGCTCTCGGAGGCGGCCAAGTGCACCCTGTGGCCCTCCAGCGGCCTCCCCGTGGGGGCTACCCTTGCCAGCACTCTGGGGAAAGGGCTCCGACCCAGGGCCATCCTCCTGCAGTACAGCTTCCTGCACCCAAGAGTCGTCCTCCAGGATCATGGTAGTGACCTCCTCCTGTTCATCTTCCTCTTGAGGCACCTGGACCAAGGGGCTCAGGGGGGTGGTTACTCTCGGCAGCTCTGCAGCCATCATCCACCTTCCCAGGGCAATCGCCTCAGGCTTCTAGCCTTGAACCTCAGTCTTCTAGAGCCAGGCTCAGGGAGAAGACACCTTCCTCCTCAAATTCCAACAAGTAGTCTGGCTGGGAAATGAGAAGGAGAACCACAATCAATAAGTAGACTGTCTTACAATGACCTAACTCACAGCAGCCCAGGTCAGGCCACCAAGTAAGTCTTACATCCGCAAATCAATGCAAGTTTCCTGTCCCTCTTAAAGGAAAAATGGCTCACTCCTGAAAACCTCTCTCTGTGACAAAAGAAGTTACGAAGAATCACAAGCACAAAAAAATACAGAACTTTTCTTTCCAGAAGAAAGAGTATCAGAAATTCAGTCCTCCTAAGAACCCAGGACTAAGTTATTCTGCCCTAAATCAGTTCAGACTTGCTGCAGAGTGAGCCTTGACCTAACATACAACTCGGTCCCTTAACCCCAGTGCCCATCTAACAGGTAGAGATAATAACACCCATTCTTATCTTATGGGGACATCTTCAGGATTAGCAATGGATCCGGATGTCAAGACATTTTGAGCCTCATCGGGAGGAAGGCAGTATCTTAACTGCATTCTTACCATATGAGTATGAAGTTTTAAAATATTCACACTTTTCAATGCAGTCTTGGCCCCGCTGGGAATTTATCTTTAAAAATAACCATCTTTCTGAAGAAAAATTTATTTGCAAGGAAACAAAACCATAGCATTGTTTCTAATTGCAAAAAAAACCCCGACATTTTAAAAATCCAGCAACAGAGAAATGGTTAATGAATTATGCCACATCCATACAGTAAAATGTATTTAAAACTACGCTGATTTAATAATGGCTACCTTTGGGGGCGGGGTACTGACCGAGAACGGACTCAAAGAAGCCTTTGGGGTGCTGGAAATGTTCTGTATCTTGATTTGATGATGGTAGCACATACATATGAAATTTAAGATCTGTGCATGCTGCTGCGTGTAGCTTTAAATATTTTTAAAAATTATGCTGACGATTATTAGCCATTAATAATCTGAGATAATCTCCATAAACCTGAAAATTACCGATAAAAACAAACCTAGCCAAACTGAAACACCTGGCACAGTATGATCCCAAATCCGTTTAAAAATGAACACATACACCAGGAAAAACAAAACTTGGACGTTGATTCTACAAAATGTTGGGAGCAGTGAAATTACTATTTATAAAATAAATGAAATTGCTATAAAAGCAATGAAAAATTATGTTTTAAAAATCACTACCACATGACAAAGACTCAGATAACCCCCCTTTTTAAAAAAGGGGGGGCAGGGGAAAAAAAGGAAGAAGAAGAAAGCAAAGCTAGTGGGAACACCGAAGCTCTCAGTGTGTATTTACCAAAGGGCTAGAAGACGCACAGGTATAACAGAAGTCCTGCTTGGGAGCCCGGGAAAACTGCTTCCGGTCAGCTCATTCGCTGTCTGACCGAGGGCAAGACACGCCCCCTCGGAAGCTCAGTTTCCCCATCTCCCAGTCCCAACCCCGCGCCCCTGGCTAGATGTGCAGGGAGCTCACCGCCCCGAAGCAGGGTCTGGGTGCCTTCGCCAAGCGGACCGGGCGCGTCAACCTGGGGGCCCCGGCCCGCGGGCGCGGACAGCGCCCCCGACGCCCCTCCCCCAGCAGGGCTGCCCGCACCGGCTCCAGGCCCGTTATTCCCTCGCCGCGGGCTACTCCCCCGGCCCGCGCCGCTCCAGGCCCGTCTCTCCGGGCTCACCTCTCGGGAGACCAGGTCGGACTCCGGCAGCCACTCCGCGCGTAAAAGCGCCCCCGGGCACGGCCCGGCCCCTCCGGACTCACCGCGGCTCAAGCCCGAGGGGCACCGAGAACAATGGACGGGAGAGGCCCGCCCCCCACCGCGCTCATTGGCCACCGAGAACGCCCCCTGGAAACCCTGCTCTCCTACTGGCGAACCCGGCCCCCAGCCCGACGGCGGGGTGGGGAGGCCGGGCCGACGGCATTGTGGGACATGTAGTCCACCGCGGCGGCCCGGCCAGAGGGCTGGGAGCGGAGCTAGGGTTTGAGAGCCCGGGCGCCGCTGCGCGGGCCGCAAGCAAATCCGCGGACTGGCCCTCGAGACCCCAGGGTTGGCCAGAGTTGGGACCTGGTACCGGTCATTTCACTTCCCTAAGGCCTCGGTGGATTTGCCTATGAAAAATGAAAGTTGTGTGGAGGGGCTTGAAGGTCCGTTTCAGCCGGGGACTGTGTGGCAAGGCATGTTGTTAGGCCCCCCGAAAGGCTGTCCCCGAGCTGGGAGGAGTCCTCCCAGGAAAAGTGCCCCCGCTGCCCGAGCCCGGCCCCCCTCCCCCAACCTGCAGGTCCACGCTTGCACCTGGCCTTGGCACACCCCTTCGTTTTCGCACGTGGTGTTCCTGCTGCTGGAGGCAAGCCCGGTCCTGCCTCTTCTGCCACGGAAGAACTCCCATTCTTTCGTCCAGCTGGTCTTCTTGGAGCCTGCCCCATCGTCCCCTCCCCGGGCGCGGACGCCGCTCCCAGCACACCTGTTCCACGTGTCCACGTCAGTCCCTGGTCCCAGTGTTGCTCACCGCGGGTCTCAGCACCGGGAGGTGAGAGCGGGAGATCGGCCTCTGTCCTTCCCACAGTCGGTGCCCTCGAAGAAGTAGCTGCCCCAACACTGCAGGCCAACAGGTGAGAAACCGTCCGGAAACCCAAGGGGGAAATAGGAGGATGGAGGGAAACATGATCTCAGTGGTCTGTGACAGAACAATTGTGAATGCTTATGCAGAGCAATCATCGGAGGCGCACAAGCAAATGACTACATTTGTTGTTTTAATTTTTTATTTATATTACATTTCATATTCATGAAAATTCTGTATTTGAGAAATGTTTTCTGTTTATTTGGGTGATTTTAATCTCTTCTGTGAACTGATTGTATCTTCCCATGTTCGTTTGTTTTCCTTTGATCCAGTATAGTTTACATACAGTGTTATGTTTCAGGTGTACAATAATGAAGCAAATCCATACAACACTCAGTGCTCATCAGGACAAGTGCACTCCTTAATCCCCATCTCCTGTCTCACCCCCCACCCCCGCCCCAGCCACCTCCCCTCTGGTAACCAGCAGCTTGTTCTCTCCAGTTAAGAGTCTGTTTTTCGGTTTGTCTCTCTCTTTTTTAATTTGTCCGTTTGTTTCGTTTCGTAAATTCCACCTCCGAGTGAGATCATATGGTATTTGTCTTTCTCTGGCTGACTTATTTCACTTAGCATAATACTCTCTAGCTCCATCCACGTTGTTGCAAATGGCAAGATTTCATTATTATACTTCTTCCCATGTTTTAATCAAATTTATTTGCAAGAGCTCTTAGTATATTAAGAAAATGATTTCTTTGTCACAGAAGTTGCTATTTCTCAGTTTGCTGTTCTTTTTTTTTTTAGCATAGAAATTTTTAGGCTGTCCCATCTTGTCTTTTTATAGCTTCTGAATTTGGTGTCATTCTTAGAAAGTTCTCTGCACCACTCTGAAGATTATCTCAGTTTCCCCTGTTTTTCACTAATGAACCCCTGTGATTAACAGTCTAAGTGTAAAGATGCAAGGTGAGGTTCAGCTGTTGAATACTACCTCCCTGGCATCTTAATGTATTAGCCTAAAGGAACGACGTGCAAATAGCACCACCTCCAGGCCAGCTCGAGAAGATTGCACTCCGTGCCTGGATGGGGAGCTCTCAGTGGTCACTCCCCTGGTCAGCATTCCTAGAGAACAAGAAATGCAAAATAGTGGAGGATGGTAATTCTTGGGATGCTCTCATATTACAAAGATTTGTTTTTCCACATTTCCATCCTCCCTAGGAATGGGGATGTATACAAATGGGAAAAGATGTGTTTGGGTGTGGGGATCTGGGGGGTTCACTGCTGAAACTTTCTAGCAGCCTAAGAGTGCATTTACCTCCGCTCCTATCCCAAGCCAACCCTTGACCACAAGAAACTGGCACTGTTTTGTCACAGGAGAATCCTGGAGCCAGCCATCTCTTCCCTGTGCCTGATTCTCCGGGAAGTTGGTCCTGGCCAATGTCAAGTATCCCAGGTTTAGATAGAAAGCAACTCACATTCAGGGCACCTGGGTGGTGCAGTTGATTAAGCGTCTCTTGGCTTTGGCTCAGGTAGTGATCTCAGGGTCGGGAGATTGAGCCACACAGAGTCTGTTTAGCATTCTCTCTCCTTCTCCCTCTCCCCCCCACCACCCCCACATGTGTGCTCTCTCACATTCTCTTTCAAATAAGTAAATCTTTATTTTTTTCAAGATTTACTTATTTGAGAGAGACAGCGTGTGAGCACCAGCAGGGGGGAGGGGCAGAGGCAGAGAGAGAAGCAGACTCCCCGCTGAGCAGGGAGCCCAATGCAGGACTCAATCCCAGGACCCCAAGATCATGACCTGAGCCGAAGGCAGATGCTTAGCCAACTGAGCCACCTAGGCGCCCAGTAAATAAATCTTTAAAAAAAGGGGGGGGGCAAGAAAGCAACTCACATTTAATACCAGTTTATGGCATAATGGGCCTGGTGCCCAAGCCAGCCTGGGACAGTGAGCCAGCCTAGAAACACAGCCCAGGGGACGCCTGGGTGGCTCAGTTGGTTAAGCGACTGCCTTCGGCTCAGGTCATGATCCTGGAGTCCCGGGATCGAGTCCCGCATCAGGCTCCTTGCTCAGCAGGGAGCCTGCTTCTCCCTCTGCCTGCAGCTCCCCATGCTTGTACCCTTGCTCACTCTCTCTCGCCCACGCTCTAACAAAAAAAAAAAAATCTTTAAAAAAAAGAAACACAGCCCAATTCAGTGAGTAGGATTGCTCCCCCAAGTGAATCTTTTCTCCATCAACCAAACTACAGGGGTGAGAGAGGCTGTGTGCTACCAATGGGCATTCCTGGTAAAAGCTTCAGAGAACTACTCTGGCTAAGTAAAAGGGACTTATTGAAAGAATATTAGGGAACTCACAGGGTAAATGGGAAAGAGTCAGGCTTAATTAAGAACAGTTGGGAGCCAAGGGCGCGTGGGTGGCTCAGTTGGTTAGGCGACTGCCTTCGGCTCAGGTCATGATCCTGGAGTCCCGGGATCGAGTCCCACATCGGGCTCCCTGCTCGGCGGGGAGTCTGCTTCTCCCTCTGACCCTCTTCCCTCTCATGCTCTCTATCTCTCATTCTCTCTTTCTCAAGTAAATAAATAAAATCTTTAAAAAAAAAAAAAAAAGAACAGTTGGGAGCCAAGAAACAGGATAAGGCTCAGGCATTGGGGCAAAGGTGCCTTTGGGCCCTGAGGATGCAGGAAGTATCTCCCCCCGCCGAAGACCCCCCACCATTGCTCAATCTACCCTATGTCCTCACTGTCCACGAAGGGCATCTCTTTGTATGAAGCATGTGTGTCTCATTTTTGCTAGTTATGCCACAGAAGCAGGACCACTAAACGGGATTGGGAAAAGATTATTACCTGAACAGTGTTGTAGGATGCCGTAAGACTGGCCTAAAAGGAAGAAAAATCTAAAGGGGGTCTCCTGGTAGGAATGCCAAGGGAGAAAGAGAAACTAGGGAAGGAGATCAGGGACGCATTTATTTTATTTATTTATTTTTTTTAAAGATTTTACTTATTTATTTGACAGAGAGAGCGAGAGCAGGAACACAAGCAGGGGGAGTGGGAGAGGGAGAAGCAGGCTTCCCGCGGAGCATGGAGCCCGATGTGGGGCTCGATTCCAGGACCCTGGGATCATGACCTGAGCCGAAGGCAGACGCTTAACGACTGAGCCACCCAGGCGCCCAGGGACGCATTTATTTTAAAGAGGGAGGAGTGAAATTCAGTCCAAGAAGTGTCACTGAACAATTGTGAAGTTAAGTATCCCATGGCGCATGCCCGTGTAAAACGAAGACCTAGAGCAGGATTTTTTTTTTTTTTTTAGAATGGAATTTTTCACCCCTCCCAACAAGGCTGTATTTTCACTGTTTTCTTTCTTTCTTTCTTTCTTTCTTTCTTTCTTTCTTTCTTTCTTTCTTTCTTTCTTTCTTTCTTAATGAATGGCTTGTAGTTAGTGTAACAGAGGCGGGAGGAGGGTTGTCTTTGGTCCTTGTCTTTCTCCTCCTGGGACCCTGGCTTTTCTCTTTCTCAGATGTCCTGTGCTGCCCTGGGCTTCTCTAGCCCCTTTGTGCCAAGAAGGAAGAGAATACTTTACGATCTCAGGCCAGTTCCCATGCCCTACTCTGAACTGGTCTAGTCAGGGATATTTCTTGGAAGACACAAGGGTGCTCTGGGCTGGACAGAATGACTCAGGAGGCAGCTTCGTGTGGACTGGTGCTTGCCAAACACAGAGGCACCCGTGGTACCAGGAATGGCTTGAGGCAGAGTGTATTTTAAAGGGGATTTAGCTCTAGAATCATCCATGTTCCCCCAAGTTATTATGAGTGAAGACTAATTATAAAGATAGGAAGGAAAAAAAATGCAAATACATGCGTGTGTGCACACACACACACACACTATGTGTACAGTTGACATTTGAACAACTAGGGGCTAGAAGCACTGACATCGCCCCCCCACCTTCACCCCAGCAGTTGAAAATCTACTCAGAACTTCTGACTCCCCAAAAACTTAGAGCCTACTGTTGACCAGAAGTCTTACTGATAACAGAAACAGTCGATTAACATTTGATATACTATACATGTTATATACTGTATTCTTACAATAAAGTAAGTTAGAGAAAAGAAAACATTATTAAGAAAATCATAAGAGAAAATACATTTACAGTACTGTATGGTATTTATCAAAAAAAAAAAAAAGAATCCACATATATAGGCACCTGGCTGGCTCAGTTAGGAGAGCATGCCA